CCGGGGAACGCCCCCGGCTGCTCTGCCCCAGGCGTCCCCAAGAGCAGCTGGGGTGCTGCCGGGTTGGTCCCGCAGCCCTGAAGGGCGGCGCTACAGGACCAACCCGGCAGCACCCCAGCTGCACTGCCCCCGGCTTCCCGGCGCAGAGCAGCTCCAATTGTCCGGCTGCCTGGAGCACTTCCGGGTTCCCGATGGTGCAGGACCATCAGGAGTGCCAGAGCATTGGATGCCAGACCAATGGAGTTTTTACTGTACTGTGACTCTTGAGTAATGTTGATTCCTACTTTTGGTTCCTGAAGTACTGATATCTGAGTATAATATAGCATTGTGGTTTAGGACATTCATCTAGTAGATGGGAGACCCACATTCAAGTTCCTGCTGCAGTAGCTATTTAATTATTTATACAAAATGAAACCCCTTCATCAAGAAAGCCCTGCCCCAGAATATTCCATTGGCTAGCAGGAACGATGATATTCTTAATGTGTAAGACCTGAATTCAAATATTCCCCCATCCAACAGGTTAGAATTGATCCTGCATCTCCCTTGTCCCTACTGAGTACTCTAGCCGCTGGGCTAAAGCATGTAAAGGAGGCTGCTACCTTCCTGACGTTTAAAGTCCAACAAATCTATTAGGCAGAAAATATTTATGAATGATGTGAATTCACCAAATAGTTTTGGTTTGCTCAAAACATCATTTATCATTGAATAAACTATTTGTCTAATAAACTTTGCCCTCTTCTAATTCACAAGTATATTTTAGTCCAGACCTGAAAATAGCAGATCAGCCTCACCCAGCAATTCTAGTACAGGCAGTCCCCGAGTTACGAACCAGCAGACCAGGGAGACGGGGAGCAAAGCCGCGGAGCACGCGGGCAGCGGACAGCCCAGACGCGCCGCGGCTGTCCCGCTGCCGGCGTGCTCCGCGGCTTTGCTCCCTGGTTTACTGGTCTCCAGCAGACCAGGGGGACGCCTGGGGCAGAGCAGATGGGGTGCTGGTGGATTGGTCCAGTAGTGCTGAGGACGGGCGCTACTGGAGCAACCCAGCAGCACCCCAGCTGCTCTGTCCCAGGCGTCCCCAAGTCAGCTGCTGCTGAAACTGATCAGCGGCTGATTCCAGGAAGCCCGGGGCAGAGCAACTCTGCCTCGGGCTTCCTGTAGTCAGCCGCTGGTCAGTTCCGACTTACATACAGATTCAACTTATGAACCCCAGGCGTCCCCAAGTCAGCTGCTGCTGAAACTGATCAGCGGCTGATTCCAGGAAGCCCGGGGCAGAGCAACTCTGCCTCGGGCTTCCTGTAGTCAGCCGCTGGTCAGTTCCGACTTACATACAGATTCAACTTATGAACCCCAGGCGTCCCCAAGTCAGCTGCTGCTGAAACTGATCAGCGGCTGATTCCAGGAAGCCCGGGGCAGAGCAACTCTGCCTCGGGCTTCCTGTAGTCAGCCGCTGGTCAGTTCCGACTTACATACAGATTCAACTTATGAACCCCAGGCGTCCCCAAGTCAGCTGCTGCTGAAACTGATCAGCGGCTGATTCCAGGAAGCCCGGGGCAGAGCAACTCTGCCTCGGGCTTCCTGTAGTCAGCCGCTGGTCAGTTCCGACTTACATACAGATTCAACTTAAGAACAAACGTACAGTCCCTATCTTGTACGTAACCCGGGGACTGCCTGTATATTTGAATCATCATCTTTGCATTCTCCTGTCAAGTGGAGTCAGCGGCTTTTGTACGTTGTTTCCCGGCAATCTTGTCAAGTTCATCTGCTCTACCTGTGCAGAGCAACTTGCAGGATCAGGGCTGTATATTATTCAGTTACTTGAAGTAATTACAAAATAATATAGAAAAATCTTAAATTTACAGAGCATGTTTCATTCTGAGGGATCCTAAAGTACTATGTAAACGTCATGCTATTCTTTCAAGGGAAGAGCATGCTTGTGAAAGCTTATCTAATGGCAATAATGAAAGCTTACTTACTGTGGTGTAAATATTTTATAGATGAAAATTTGGGATGCCTATACAGTAAACTTCCGATAATCCAGCACCTTTAGGACCCAGGGGGTGCCGGATTATCAGATTTGCCGGACTATTGGAAGGCGGGGGCTATGAAGGGTGTGGAGGGGATGCCACTGCAGACCCCTCCTAGCCCCCCCCTTCTGATAGTCCGGCTCTGCCCCAGGCATCCCTGATTTAGCCACTGCTGGTCAGTTTCAGCAGCAGCTGAATTGGGGACACCTGCAGCAGAGCAGCTGGAGTGCTGCCGAGTTGGTCCGGTAGCGTCAACTCTTGGTGCGGTGAGACCAACCCAGCAGCCCCCCCGCTGCTCTGCCCCAGGTGTCCCCAAGTCAGCCGCTGCTGAAACTGATCAGCGGCTGACTCCAGAAAGCCAGAGGCAGAGCTGTTCTGCCCCAGGCTTCCTGGAGTCAGCCCTGGTCAGTTTCAGCAGCGGCTGAATCAGGACGCCTGGGGCAGAGTAGCTGGAAGGCTGCTGGGTTGGTCCCACAGCACCGACACTGCAGCTGCTCTGCCCCCGGCTTCCCTGATTCAGCCGCTGGTCAGTTTTAGCAGCGGCTGAATCAGGGAAGCTGGGGGCAGAGCAGCTCCAATGGTCCAGCTGCCCGGAGCACCTCCGGGTTCCTGATGGTGCCGGACCATCAGGAGTGCCAGACTGTGAGATGCCGGACCATCGGAGTTTTACTGTATTATGGCTCACTTTGCAATTCCTGAGTCCGAGATCCTCCCAAATTAGATTTTTTTTTAAATTAATACTTCACTGGCATTTTATGCCAAATGTTACTGACAACTTACTTTTGAAATGCTTGACAAAGTATTATTGGGATTTACCTCCTTAGATGGACAAAGATCTTTTAGTGTACAGCAAGAGGGAAAATCTAAAAAATTTTAGAGACTTTTTGAAAACCCTCAAATAGCACTTCCATAGGTTGCATTGCCTTGAATTTTAAGACTTGATACATCTATATTCCATGTCCAGAACCCAGAGCACTACAAATTCAAAAGGCAGAATGATAGTAGGAAGGAATCTACCTTGTCATTTCACTGTCTTTACTCTCGAGATTCAGGAGTGATTTTCAAGCGCTGCTGTTTCACTTACTTACAGGTGATCACACATATCAACAAGAAAAGATGGCGTTTATTGGAAGTTAGAGAAGAACTAATTCGGTAAGTTTCCATTTCTTGAAATATACAGTGATTTACATTGATTGATTGAAAGCATACAATAACCACCTGTCAGTGGAAAATGAGGAGTCCTGTTAGTGTTCTGAAAATCTAAGAAATCTTTTTTTGTTGAAATAGTAGGTGAAACATTTAAGACCTGCACCATCTAAGCATATGTATTCCTATCTATTTGCAAAAGATAAAGTTAATCCCTCCATCAACACAAGAGTTGTGGAACTGCCTAATAAACAGGGAGAGAGGCATTTTTGCAAGCCTTCTCTAACTAGTCTAAATTCTTGGGATAATGTCTTCCAGAGGGGCTGCACGTTCAATAAGAAATATACCAGCTACATGACTAGAGATGAGAGAATGATCAGCTAGGTTAAGACTATTTAACATTAACAGTAGTTCTTGATCACAAATGTGATCACTGGCTTCCTGTCAGTTATTGTATTATTGACAAGATTAAAGAGATACTTAAACAGTATGCACACTTTAAAGGACCTTATTCCTATCTAGTTACCAAGCATTTATCCTAATAGAGAAAAATAACAGGCTGTTGCACTATGTACACTTTACACTTTTATGACACTTCCCTCCCCATTAAGTTATGTTCAGTAGAAACGGTACATTTAAAGTATCAGAGGGGTAGCCGTGTTAGTCTGAATCTGCAAAAGTGACGAGGAGTCCTGTGGCACCTTATAGACTAACTGAAGTGTAGGAGCATAAGCTTTCGTGGGCAGAGACCCACTTCGTCACATGCATCTGACGAAGTGGGTCTTTGCCCACGAAAGCTTATGCTGGTACATTTAAAGTAACTCATGAAAGAAAAATATTTACAACACAATCCTTAAGCACTGATGTTTTTAAGGACTGGACCACAACTGAAGCAACTACAAAGGGAATATGCTGAGCTACAAGAGAGAGAATCTTCTCTGAGGAATACAACCCAGTTCCTAACTGATTTAAAGGAGGTGCAGCAACATTATTTAAATTACAGAAAAGACAACCCAAAAGAAAAAGTAGTAGTAAGTATATATTGACACACTGATGTTGCACAATCTAATTCAAGTTTTGTCTCTTGAGGACAGTGGTGGGCAACCTTCAGCCCCTTGGGATTCTGTGTGTGGCCCATGAGATATTGTTTACCATTTCCCACATAGAGGGTTGCCAGATTCCACTGGTCTACATCCACATAAGTATTTTCCTACTGGTATTACTAAAGTGACATGCACGTAAAGCAAGGGTCTGTGAAGTGAGGTGCATTTTGACTGCACATAAGCTTACCTGAGAGGGGCAATGCAAGGGCATGCTGCCTAGCGACTTTCGTATCAGCAGCCAATAGAAGCAGCCGGAGGTGGTGTTTGAGAGTGCATGGGGCTATGAAGCTTGCCCACCCCTCCCCCCCATCTCTCATATGCCCAGACCCCCCCTCTGCCCTCCTCCCCCCTCCCCCGCCCCACACACACACTGCCAAGACCCCATACCTCCAGCCTGCTCCTGCACACTCTGGCATGCCCCTACCATCCCCCTAATTTTTGGCCTCCCTGTAAATCCTATGGGGGTGGGCCCTCAATCTATTAACCCCAGACCCCAAAAGTGTTAATCTGGCCTGTGGGAAGCCCTGAACCTTGGTCTTCCCTTCCTTGGCGCCCTCCCTGCTCCCCAAAATGGGGCTGGAACATGAGGGAAGTGAGGTGTCTCAGTTGAGGACTTTTTTGCCCCTTGAGTGACATCCCCCTCCCCAACTGATTTTCACTCTGGAATAGTGGCCTCTGACCTAAAAAAGTTCTTCACCATGGCCATAAAAAGACAACATTGAAACCTTTTGTTTGACATACATTTATATTTTACTTTATCATGTTAGTTTGCCAAACTTCATTTTAAACCGCTTATCTGTTTATTTTGATTAATATTTCATTTCTTACCCATTATATACATCCCTTTGTTATTTATATTAGGCTACTGGAGCTGTAATTTAGTATTTAAGATATTTAGGAATATTAAGGGTTTTAAGGTATTTAGAGATAAGTAAATGCATTTTCTCATCATGGGTGGTTGGGCTGGTGATACACGGAAAGGATTTACATTGAGCAGAGTTGGTAGTGGATCAAAAAGTTTGAGAACCACTGATGAGGTCAAACTCTGGTGCCCAGGAGCTTCTCTACATACAAGAATGGCAGTGTATTTTGCAACCCTCTTTAATGCTCAAGTGTCTCTTCAGCAGCTTAGCACTGATAGCAAGCTACTTAAACTACATATTTGAGAAAAGGAGGAGATATCCACAGGTGTCATCTCTCCTAGGGTACTGCTGACCTTCTGGTCCTCTACTTCAGGAAATATGATCTGCTTATCCTTAGCATAGCCAAACTTCAAATGTTCTGTTTAACTCAAGTTAGAGACATATCAAATCGTAATCCACTCTTTCAAATATGAAAAATAAATGGAGCACTTTCAAACAAACCGTTACTTTATCCTAAGGGTTAAAAGTAATGCTTTGTAATTTTTCTTCCCAATAACA